AAGAGCTTTGCGTCTCTTTTTTGATATAAATGATAAATAATAACCAATTAAATGATAATTAATGAGTACCAATTGAAATTGTATTTACAAATGCAAAATAAATTTTCTTATTTCAAATAACTTATTTGGATCTATATAAATAATATGTCATTTATTTTTGTATTTAATTCAAACATCCAAATAACAAATAATTTTTTATTTAAATAATCATCTAAATGAATGTTTACTTAAATGATGTTCAACACTGCATATATTTAATAGAAGCGAAGAAAACTGAGCCAAGTTGATATAATTTAGTAGGGTTTTTTTAAGTAAAAGTGATAAAGATGTTGTTAAAAATAATAATTAGAAAATCCACAAATGAGCATAGTAAATTTTTTCCAAATGTACCCAGAGCAATGCTGTATCGTTCTTCTGTATTATAAGCGTTGAAATTTTCGAACAACGACTTGAAGTTTTCATTGTAAAATACTTATTATCGTTGCTTAGATCAATTTGCGTGCTGTCTGTGGGTATTTGGAAGTCATTACGTCGGCGAGTTGAGATTGAAAGCATGTTTGTCGATGACGCGAACTTTTGATCGCAATACAGGCGTCCATCGTTTCGTTTCCTTGGACCGATCGAGATTTTTTGCCAGACGGAGATTAAAAGATCTCTTTAACGACCTAGATCGCGACACGTCGGCTGATCTGGAGCAAACGGAACATAGACGCTGCGTAGTAAACGATCAAGGCCCGATTAGTTAGCGGAACAGAAGTTAGACGACGCGTGTTAACCCTCGCGGAGGATTTTCCGCGGTCAGATTCTTGCGAACGGCTCATAGAAAATATCGCTGATCAAATCGCGCTGTGGTTTCCAGAAATATTTCTCCGGGCTGCCTTCAGCGGCAACTGGCATTTCGATGCAGGCACCTCTAATGTCTTGACACAACAAATTACTTCAGTGTTGCAATTAAATTTTAATCAAGCAAGTTATTAATGCACCGAGTGCAGAAATGAATAATTTAAGAATAACTCCAGTTTTGCAATCAAAGTACAGTCATGCGAAATTAATGTATCGAATGTGCTGATGCATAATTCAAGAGTTTTAAAAAGGTAGAACAATTTAAGGGCTGTTTTTCGTTTATTGGAAAATTTGTTAATATGTCGAAAGAAAATCATAAATATTGATGATATCAATATTTATTTATTTATTTATTCATTCATTATAAACAGACTGCTGATTTTTATGCAATATAATATTATAAACTTATATAATATCTTCTTTTTTTAAATAATTTCAATAAGTTGAAATTTGTACACCAACATTTTTCGTTCTTTTCAATCTTTTCAGCCACCCATTTTTGCTATAATTGCATAAAATCTGCAGTCTATTGATTAATTACAAACAGATGTGCTTGTATTCTTTGTTCAACAACTGCATTGTAATAATTTAATAATTTACTGAATTGTAATAATTTAATAATTTACTGCATTGTAATAATTTTTAATTTGTCAAGTTGAGCAAATAATGCTTCACAAAGCGTGTCAACTTATATTTTTAATTACATTCTATAATCATTAGATTGATGCTGTTTATGCATATTCTCATTTTTATACATAATTTTATAAAGCTAAGAATTAAAAAAATAAAGATGCTCTTAGACCTCGTTAATTTATACGTTTTCTTACATTTTAATAATTCGCACATGCCATAAACATTAAAAGAACATCGGACTAATAATCATTATTCGAATCACAATGATAATTTTATTACAAAATCTAATAACGTATTACGAAAGTAACAAATGTTTAACCCAACAAAACCGTAAAAATAAGAATTCGATATTAGAGTGATGAAGAGAAGGGTTCCTATTTTGAATACTAACGCCTCTTATGTACATTAAAAATTAATTGCCGTAATAAAGATCGAGGTTGAAGCCATAGAGCCACTTACGAAAACATCCGATATCAAATTATGACGTTGTCTCTGCCCGCAAGGCAACCATAGTTATTTCACGTTTTCTTTTCCTTTTATCTTTCTCCGATAGTCCTCCGTCTTCAAACCATCGGGTCTACATTTGATTTAAAGATATTCGCGACGTTCATACGATTCGCAGAGCCGCATTGGCTCCGTAGATATTTCATGGCGAGGTCCATAGTTATCCCACGAACAGGAAGCCGCAACCTTGCAACAACAAAATCTACAAAAAGAAAACGGCGGAACACGTTTCTCCCGGTAAAGTTCACCGGGTTTGTTAAATTTAAAAATGGATAGCCCGAAGCACGCAGGAACCGCAAAAAAAACCCGGGCGCGTTGTTTAATTACGACTCACGTTTATTAAATATTTTGCTTCTCGGCCCGTGAAGTTTAATTACGCAACGCGCGGAATTTCGTAACGAATCTCCCCTCTTTCTCTTTTTTCCCGCGTTTTTGCTTGTTATCTGTTGCGTCCACGCAATGACGATCGATATGAAAATAAGTGAACGTGCGCGGCACCGTGATTACCTTCGGCATCATTTTCGATGCGGACAGGTTGCATGGAAAATAGGGGGTTGGCAAATCATG